ACCCTGGCAGTGTTCAAGGCCAGGCTGGATGAGCCTTGAGCAACCTGATCTAGTGAGGAGATGTCCCTGCCCAGGGCAGGGGAGGTTGGGACTAGATGATCTGTAAGGTCCATTCCAACCCCTAAATTCTATGATTCTATGAGTGTTAGTATGAGAATATATCAGGAATGAGTACTGTGTTTAGAAAACCCAGGGGAAATGAGGCTTCATCAGCTCACTGCTCTTAGAATAACTTGTTTGATCTCCCAAAACACTGGGGGGAATATATCACTTTCTCCTACCTCTGTGTTTCCAATACATGGTGATAAACATGTGTAATTAAATCCATGAGATTTATCCATACAGAGTGCTCCTGGGGCACAGCTTATATTGTTGAATAGGCAGGCATCAATATCGAGTTCACATCTTTCACCTTCAAAACCTGCACCACAAAGAGAATGTTTAATCACAGTTCGTTCAGGATATTGACATTATGTCTGTTCAGGGTGTTAGCAGTTAACACCACTCTACTAGAGTAATTTGGCAGTTTTATTTCCTAAACAAAGGGAAAAAGTGGGATCTTCATAAAAATGTCCACTACATTCACTGAGATATACTGCTATTTTTATGTTTCTATTACTTAGACATAAATATCTGGAAGACATTTTCTTTGTTCTCTTTAGAAAATACAATAAATTTCCAATGACTCACCTACAGGGCAAGTGCACTTAAAATGATCTTCATAGACAACACATGTTCCTCCATTTTCACATGAATAGGAACCACAGTTATCAATTTGCACCTCGCAGAATTCTCCTGAGGTTGGGGAACAAAAAAGTCCCAAAAATTTTAAAATTAATATCACACCCCTAAATACCACAAGTGATATTTTTAATATTGATAGAACAGCTTGGTTTAAGTAAGCTCTCTGGAATATTGGTTAGAATTTAAGGATCTTGGAGAAGTTTTCAGACTCTTCGATCTCCTTTTATATATGTAAAAAAACCCAAACCAACAAACCAACTCATTATTTTAAAACAAAAAGGTCAAAACAATGCTTATTCATTACTAAGAACCATTTTAGAATGCACCTGAATGGATGCTGAAGAGGGAGGATTTTTGCTGGAAATAATGAGCCTGAAATGGAGGTAATGCATTGGTATTTTCTCGTGCTTTTTGCTGCTGCATGAGTCAACCCTGAGCTCTGCTCAGGACTTTTGAATCTATTATGTACATATTTCATTATGTCCTTTCTGAACTCTGTTTTGGTTAGGAAAAAGCAAATCCACATTTGTCTGAGGTAACCTTTAGTGTCATTCCACTGAACAATTACTTGCTCATTTAGCTGAAAACTGTTTTTAGCTCAGCAGGAGGAAATAACTGAACTTGTAACTGGACAATACTAAAAATAAATGTGCTAAAGAGAAATCTATCTCTGGCAATGGGATATGAATCAATAAGGAAGACCATCAGCTTTACCATTAGTCTTCAAAAACCAGTAGGTTTGACAAAAAGAAAACACCTTAAAGTTTTCTTATTACTCTTTTGGTACTGCAAACAATTTAATGAATTCTGTGTATAGGTTCTTGAGACCTTTTTATTTCTTTTTTTTATTGCTGTGCTATTGTTTCTTTTTCCCTGATTTTATTTTTATTTTCAATTTACTCTTTCTACAGCAGGACTTCAGTATTTTATTTTATTTCTTTTTCAACTTTAGAAAAGATAAAGTATAGAGAAATAAAAAATGAAACAATCTTTATGGCTGAGAAAACTAGAAGCAGATGCAGGAGAATTGAGATGTTTCAAAGAGGAAAACTTCAGAAAGGAAAATTAGTGTAGATTACTGTTATTTTTACCATGGACATTTTTTGGTTATCAGTGTTGCTTCACTCTGTGACTTAAGCAGACAACATAGAAGAGCTTAATGGAATGTACAAGAAATTTGAATATGTTCTGTGAAATGTTGAGCCAGAAACTGGTATTTTAAGTTCTTCATATGTAAAGAAAAAAAGGAAAATAAATTTACATCAAATAATGAAATTATTTTAAAATTTTTAATCAGGTCTCCTTTTGATATAAAGCCAGACACATCAGGAGAATATAAACTAATAGTATAAAATCTGATAAGGAAATTACTGTCTATGCTTCATTTCTGACAATTTCATACACTTCAGTCCATTCCTAATATAGACCTAAAGACTTCTTTTTATGGACTTCTATAAATGTAAACAGGAATATGCTGTAATTTCTTGGCCAAA